TAGGGACCCCAAACATATATATGTATTAGTTTCAAAGGGTATAAGTGATGGATAGAACTCGGAAGAAAAGGTAATTTGTGTTGTTTGGGCTTGTTGCATACCAAAGCAATCATTAAACTAAACATTCCGTATTTGAATATTTCAGAAAATATGCTTGAAAGCTTAATTTGGGAAAGATGACCTAATATTGCTTGGCCATAATAACATCCCATATGTTTTGGTGATGATTTTATTGCAAAGTAGTAAGCCATTATAAAGAGTTGTGAATGAATGAAGTGTGTCTAGATGATGTAGACTCTTAAAACTTTTTCCAATAGCTTTGATGTCCATCATTCCTGCATATCTACATTAAGTAAAAGTCAATATGTGTTTTGATAGAAATATGGCACTTTTTAGATAAGGTATGAACTGATATGAAAGCTAACACCTAAAAACTAAGGACATATAAGGACATCTTTAAGGTAGTTTTAGAAATGCAATATGAAGTTCATGTGAATGTGACCCATTTTTATGGAGCCATTAGGTAGCTTAACTGTCTTGGGGTGCTGGTAATTTTTAGAAAGGTGTCAAAAAAAAATGTATGTTTATGAGTCATATGGAATCCGTAGCTTCCAGTGTCTATAATCTCCAAATCTTCTTTGTCCTTTTGTGTTATGCAATTAACATGAGATCTAACAACAAATATCCCTGCCAAAGCTTCCAACTATTTGCATTAATCAATTGTGTGGGTTCTTATTGCACTTCCTTGCCCTTCAATGCTTTCATCATTTCTTTTTTTGTTTTTCTTGGTTATGTTGTCACTGTATTCTCCAATATGATCTAATGTTCATTGCTTCTAATGTTCAGAAATGTTCCTATTATATATAAAGCCATTGAACTTAAACCCTTCTTCTGTTTTAGATCCTATGCTAGTCCGAATATCCCAAGTAGTTTAACAAGTTTCCTCATAATGGTCCCGTGCCCACTACTTTGGCAATGTGTAACAATTACTTGCTTCCTTTCTCTTGTTGAAATTTATGTTATCTTTGCCCATTGAACCTTTGGTAATTCCCTGGTTTAACTTGCATACATAGCCACAAATCCAGTTTGTCATTCGATTCAAGGGCTAGGTTTATGCACCTCTTTCTGTTTTTCAAATCCTAGAACCATTGAAGGTAGCACGATTCACCTAGGAAAGGATCCATAATAAGAATTGAATTTCCTCACATTGTCATAAGAGTCATTTAATTAATCCCAATTAGGATTGTATCAAATTATCTCAATTTTCAATTTTTGTTCATATTTCTAGATGCACCTACAAGTACACATAGACAAAGGTCTTAGACACTTAGTTCACCCACTTTTTTTTTCATTTTGGGTGAGTACACAATGACTGAGTTGTTTCTTGTTTTAGCTTGATAATCTCTTGCTTAATTTGTAAAGTAATGGGACGTTACTTCAAACCAAATCGCTGTGCAAGTTCTTTCCATAAGTTCTTGTCAAGAGTTGTATACAAAAAGCCTCCATAATCTCTTTTTAAAATTTGGAGTTTAATATCCAAGAGACAACCATTTATCAATTCATCTATCCAACTTAACAATTTATAGGAGAGTTAATAGCCTGGTTTAACACACTAAACTATTAATGAACCCTAGTTTGTTGTCTTTAGCTCTTAAAGGTATAAGCATAGATATACACAAGGATAAGTAATTATTACCAATAAGAAGAACCTCTTACTAAGTATTATTGTAGGGAATTATCTGAATTCAAAATTTCAGTTGCGATTTGACTCCTCTGTCCTCTTCTCCCATTTGAAGGTAGTTGTTGTTGTCATGATTATGTTCTTTGAGTGGCTTTTGTAGATTGAGTAGTTGGTGAAGATGAAGTGAATTGGAGTTTTTTTAAGATGAACATCTAATTGCAGATCAAATCTAATTCAGGCTCTTAATACCATGATCAGAAACAATGTAATGGAGAAATCAGGAAATTCCACAGAGTAAAATGAAGAAGACGATATTATTAATGAGAAATACAATCTATAGAATAGGAAAAAGTAAACTACCCTAAATACTTATACTAATCTAGTTTTTTGTTTATTGTGTTACATGATGTGTTGGACTAAATCTACTCTAACAAACTACTTTGACGAACTCACATAAATATATGGGTGAAGTCTACAACAATTTGGGCTTGATTAATAAAAGTTGGCCCACTCCATATTTGTGATTTTGATTGTTTGCAACTCTAAACATAACATTAGAATAGCCATCACTCATAATGTTGTTATAGTAATGTGGAAATATAGGTAGGGAATAATTAGAAGCTCGAGGGAGGAATGGGAAGAGAATCGACAAAGATGGAAAGGGGAATTAGGGATTAGATTTTGCATTTAATGTTTGAAACGGTGCGTTTTGCTCAATTTTAGGGGCTAGAGTTTAGTTTAATCCAAGCAAGGTTAGGTGAGAACCCATTTATTATTATTATATTATAAAACTCCTGGCTAATTTGCATTTAGGGTGACAATATGTTTAAGTTTTGATGCTGAGGTGTTAGTAGAACAAACGTCAGTTTTTGGGTGTTATTGCAACAGTCGCAAGCTTAGAGTACTTTTTATAGGTTAGGTTGTTCATAGAATGATTTTATAATTTTGAAGCGTTTGGATATGCATAAAATGTTTAATTGATCAAAGTAAAAAGAATCTGATGCAAAAACTTTTTAAATGAAAATGATACAAGGGGAACTTATGCATTTGTGCTTTTAAACTTGTGATGTGGAGCTTAAATTTTAATTTCTTAAACCATTATCATAGTTTTTGCCTTGAAATGAAGAATTTGACAACGAATAAAAAGTTTAGAAATTTTATATGTGCAAAACTGTAAATTCATAGGCTTAATTATGTAAATTTTTGCTAAGAAAAAAAAACCCTCAAGTTTAAAAATAATGATATCATTTGCGTGCTCTAAAAACAAATGTTAGTGCAAATAATATTTTACCAAATTATAAAGCACATACTTATTCCAAAAATTAGGATGATAGCAGTCAATGGAACTTAACAATTTTAATAAACGATATTTAAGATCCAAACCTGAGATATGACTCGAAAGATTACAAGAAATATTCATATATGGAAGGATAGATGAATAAGGTTGCAGCTAATATATATTTTGTTTTAATATGGTCAAAAAAGGTGAAATGCTACGTAAATCTGACGAATGTCAATTAAAATAATAATAAAAGTTATCCACAGGTTTCGAGAATTAGAAGTTTCACAACAGAATCGAAAGTCCATTGGCTTAATTAGACACTTTTTGATTTTATCGATTCCTTATAATTCTCTCTTCCCTAATTTTATATTTTATTGAAACAAGAACATGATAATGAGTCAGTCTTAACTCTAAAGAAATTGAACAAGGTATGCTAAATGCCTTTTGTTTAATTTATTAATTAGTTTAATTTATTTTTCATTTTTTTCCTTAATTTCATTCTAGACTTTCTTTAATCTTTTTGAAGTTACATCTACCTTCAAATTGCAGTGAGTATATAATATTTTAAAAGTTCGCTCTTTTAAAAAAAAAAAAAATTTTGCAATTGATTGTGCATGGTAAAAAAAAAAAAAAAAAAAAAAAAAAAAAAAAAAAAAAAAAAAACCCCTCACTTTCTATAACAAGATGCAAAAATAATTGAATTTATAGTCATAATTTTATATTTTACTTTTTTTCAACAGCAGAAGGAGAATTTAAGTTTCAGCATTTTTAAGAAAATATTAATGGGTCGATCTTAACGGTTTCCTTTGTAAAAGAGGGTCGAGAATCAGAAAGATTCTTTTCAAAGTTTGAATTTGGTTCATTTGGATCTCGAAATTTTCGATATTCTTTTTTGTTTCCAATCAAATGAATAAGTACTTGTAATATCAATTGGTACAGACATAAAAATAAATCATTTTAATTTGAATTGAGAGAAAGTGAAAAATTGAATTAGAGAAGTGAAATTAATACGATGTAGAAAAGTCGATCCCTAATCTTTTATTGCAGTAAATGAAAATTCAAAATCGAAGAAAATAATTTTCTTAAATACATTTTAATTGAATTAGAGAAGTGAAATTAATACGATGTAGAAAAGTCGATCCCTAATCTTTTATTGCAGTAAATGAAAATTCAAAATCGAAGAAAATAATTTTCTTAAATACATTTTAATTGAATTAGAGAAGTGAAATTAATACGACATAGGAAAAGTCAGATCCCTAATCTTTTATTGCAGTAAAAGAAAATTCAAGATCGAAGAAAATAATTTTCTCAATCTAAAAGAAAATCTAGCATAATGAGCCTAACTCACAAAACAAAAACAGTAAACATAGAAAAAAATTGTTTTTTAAGGATACCAAAATGTAAAAAATTTATGTGTTAAAGTAAAAGATTATGTGTCCAATATTAGAGTACTAGAGTTACATATATATTTTTAAAATTTTTAGCATTTAGATAAATAGATAACTTTTCAAGTAGGGATATGAGGAACAACCTATTGTATAAGATCTGTTCAACAATAATAGCTATTTTAGTATATGTTAACTGGTAGTCGTTCATATAGCGGGTTAAATTAAAAGTGTTTAATAAAAATATATTTTTAAATTATAAGTGTTTAGTTATTTAATTAGCTGTTTAATTTAAAATAACAAAAATGACATTACTTGTTTAATTAGTTAAATTCGGAGGAAGAACACAATGGGTCTGATTGTCAAAAACAATTTAATTAAAAGCTAAACACTAAAAGCTCCTTCAATCTAAAAGTTATAATAAAAGCTATTTTACAGAATGCTGCATCACTTGCTCAAAATGCTAAAAGCTAATATAAATACTGTTGTTGAATAAGGCCATAATAGAAAAAAAAAAAAATCTAAATATGAAATGTATGATTTTGCACTTATTAATGATTTCAATTATGTAAATTGGTAACTTGGTGATTCAATCATTTTCCTTTTGTTTTTTTTTTTTTTATTAAACTAATATAATTTTAATTTTCAGGGTGAAGAAGCAGAAGCAATTCACAGAAAGAACAACAGTAATAAGAAACCAGCATATGAGTGGCTAGAAAAATTTCTGAAAAGAACATTCTTTGAATCATGTACAACACATCCTATTAGAAGAAATGAGATAAATAGATATTGCATAAATTGCAATTTATCAGCATGCCAGTATTGCATGTCCTCAACCAATCACAGGTACCATAAAATTCTGAAAATATATAGACATGTTTACAAGGATGTTGTCTCTCTTGGAGCTATGGAGAAGTACATTGATTGTTCTCACATTCAGGTATTTATCTTCTTCATCAAATTGCAAGCAAGTGTTTTTTAATTCCTTTTTCCGGATTGATATTTAGTTCAGTGTTTTTTAATTGTTGGGTTAAAGCCATATAAGTGCAATAAGCGCTTAGTTATAGCTCTGAATCCTCTTCCACACTGCGGTCCGCTTTTGAGTACTGGAGTTTGTGACGTCTGCAAGAGAAGACTGGCTGAGCCTGAACTCTACAATTACTGTTCTATTTCTTGCAAGGTAATGTGTATATTTTCTCTAAAGTTTGGTACTTGCACAGTGTTTGATTTTGTTCTATAAATTGTTTAATTTTCAGGTTACAGCATTTGCAATGAAGGCAAGTGAATCAGATCCTCCATTTCTCTGCATTCAGATTCCAACTAGTATAAGAAAAAACAATGAGTCAAAAACAGAGAAACCCAGGGGAAGAAGGAAAGGCATACCTTGCAGGGCTCCCTTCTTCTAAAAGAGTTAGTTAGTATCTCTACTTTATTTTGAAACCAAATTGGTCTAATGTAGTGGAGCACCAAATATTAGAAGTCTTTGGTCTTGAAGGTTGGAATTTTCTTTGACATTGGAAGTAACTGATTAAAACTCTTCTTCTCTGTCTCTTCATTTATGCAAATTCATAAACAGCTTCTTTAATTGGGATGACAAAAAGGGCAAAGGTTGGATTGTCTGTTTTTTTCTCATTCTGCTGCAATTGCATACTCTTGTTTTCTGCTAATAAATTGCATTCCTTAACAAATTGAAATCTGAATATTATACATGCGCCCACATTAACACACAGAATATGTATTATGCATATAGTCCAAAAAACGAAATCTTTTATTACATTCTGCACTAACAAGAATTCTTTTCCAAATCTCATTTACATCATCCTGTTACAAGAATTGTGTACAAAAATCTCTATCTCAAGAACATTAACAAAAAGATTTATGCTCTAGTTATCATTTTCGTATGTCAAAACAATTCGAATTTACATGTAAAAAACTCCTAGTGCTACTTGTAGTGGTTGATTATGTACTTAACGGCAGAAGCTGCCATTTTCCACTGAAACCAATCTTTACTTCACTAATTCTGCTACATATGCATTTGGTGGAACCATCAACAAATGATCAGAATTCTCAAATTCCACTTGAAGTTCATTTGTTGGTTTGACAACAGAATTGCAGCATTCTGTGCAGATGAAAAGTGGAGGCACAGTCTTCGAGTCATCAATGCCATTGCAGCGAGTATGCTCCCACACTTCACAAATATCACATGCTACCATTCGCTCTCCATCATCGTCTTGAGCCCCACATTCACATCGTACCTTCCAATTATCAGGCCCAGCTTCATACCTCAATTCAGTATTTAAGTCCACTCCATTTCCTTTCATAAAAAGTTCTGAGCCAGATTCAACAACACCAAACAACACTTCCCAATCCTCCAATTCTTCCATTAGTTCAATCTCTGTAACCACAAAATTCTCCAAGATATAATAAGTATCTTTCAAGGCATTTTCTGCTGCTCGTTTGAGTTCTGCTACTGTTGCATGTAATGGAAGCATAATAATCTCACCAGGAGGCAATTCTCTAGTGAATTTAGTTCCTGCTTCAATTATATTTGGCATCACTTGACATATGTATCTCAGTAACTGATCCTCTTCATTTTCAAATGGCCATTCCTTCACAAAATGCTTGCTGTCTAAGATTGCCTGTGTTGCTGTTTCCACTAATTCTGATTCTGGATAATTCATCAGAACTTTCATATACAAATAACCCATATCACCATACAAATCAGCTCCTGGCACTAATGATGGCACTGGAATGGGGTCTGCAACTTCTTCTTCTTCTGGCTCAGTGACCTTAACTTTCCTATTATCAAGTTCATCAATTGAGTACTCCAAAATCCTTGTCTCAAGATTCATTGCACGGTGAACAACATGATTTCCAACAATTACATTGTTCATTGACTTTAGAACATAATCAAGTAAGCCAGTATCACCAATGTGCATTCTAGCTGCATCTCTCACGTCTTGTCGAGTCATACCTTGTTGACTGAACTTATCAGTCCTTTTCTCCTTCAACGCACTAACAATCACCTCAGCTGCATATTCTAGCCTTTTTTTAGACCATCTACTATCCAAAGTACCAACCAGAGAGCTAAACTTCCTATATCTAGTATATTTTTCCTTCACTACAGGCTTCTTTTGAGAGGCTATAACCATTGAAGACTTGACATTAGAATCTATGCTTCTTTTCTTCTGTGCACAAGGACAGGATTTTACAATAAGCATAAACCTAAGAAGATCTTTGAAAGTGATCAATGGGGTTTCACTGAAATTTCTATAGAAACTGATTATTTGTTTCATTTCCTGGTGTACTTTGGTGTCTTTAAATTCCTCAATGATTTTATCAAGCTCTAAAGAGCAAAGAATTTCAATTGCTTGATTATAGTTTTGCAGTTTAACACCAAAGCTTCCTCTACAAAATTTATAACCCCATCTACCAAACCAGGAATGCCCATAAGCAACTCCATAAAGTAGGCGAAGTTCCATGCCTCGCTTCTTTGAAACATCCTGAACACTGATTTTTCTGCAAAATTGAAGAAATGGGTAAATATTCTTATATGTCAACAAAATCAAATCAAAAAACTCAGTAAATTTATTAAGGTTTTAAGGTTACCTAGCTTGAAGATTTGCACATAGACGATCCCACAGATCCATAATTTCTCTACCACAAAGGATTTTGGAACCTCCTTCAATGCCGTTAATACACAGCAAATGACCAAATCCATTGCAGTGAATTAAACCATGTAAGAGATGATTTTGGAGATCAAAAACTCCTTCTAATTGCTCATTCCACTCACTATCATTAGGTATTATCAAATGATATCTTCGTTTGGACACAAAATTATCACCCCAACCTAAAAAATCAAAATCCAAAGCAAAATCAATTAAATTCCCAAATTATGGAATAAATCAAAAACTTCAGACTGAATAACAAAGCCCATTTGACAAATCAAATGACTTATAAGAAATTAACAATAAAATATTCCAAAAATAAAAGAACTTCAAAAGCGCAATTCAGATAAAACATAAAGGATCAAAATAGAAGAACCTAACCAGTACATCTGCAGTGATCACAAAATGGATTTGACGAATACTTGACATTCTCTTCAATGGTGTAGAGAGGGACAACAAAGCTATTACTCTCAATGAGAAGCAGAGTAGACCAAATTGGCATACCCTCTATAGTATAATCCTGGCGAACTGCGCATTCTTGAAGAAAAATCCGAATATTATCGCGAAATGGACCCATGGGACTTATTGGGCAACCCGGGTCACCAAAACTATGGAAATTATAAAGCTTGGGCCTTCTCTTTCTCTTTCTACACGCTTCAAGAAATGGAAGTGACATTATTGAAGCCAATTAAGCTCTCTCTCTCTCCCTCTCTCTCTCTCGCTACAGAACAGCTAAAGAGCGAAATTTTAACAGAACGGGTGTTTGTTACAGAGTAGTATTTCCCCGCTTAATTTCAAAAAATACTTTTGGACGAAGAGGCCCATGTTACGATAGATATTTACATTTTTACCTTATTTCTGAGCTACTTAAGGTTGAGACATTTTTTAGTCTATTGAATTGCAGTTTGGTTTGTTATTGATCGGACGGTTACTGTGAGATAGGAAATTGTTATTAATTTATTCTAACCGTAAGATTATGAAGCCGTTTTAAAGTTAGTTTAAGAAGCGGCAAGTTGCAGCCGAAAATATTTGCTGACGTGTAGATGAGTCAAATACGGACTGGAGTTCGAGTTGACTCGTGTCTGAGACTTGTTGGGCCTGGGCTGAAGTTTTTGTACTTTATATAAAATTTTGAGATTTTTACTATGAAATGAAAAAGGTCAAAAAAAAAAAAATTTATTTGCAACATTAATAGAATTTTATTATCCATAATTATAATTTTTATTCATATTTATAATTAGAAATTACTAAAATAAGAGAATTTTAGGCTCTTAGCTCCATTTGGAATAAATCATGCGAGAAAAATTCAATTCACTTTATGCGTTTAAATAAAACTTAAGATAATAACATTTTCTATTTTATTTTTATTATTCATAATAACTCAAATAAATAGAATTTGAATTTATAAGTAAACATATTTAATTAAAATAAATGTAGTTTGAATTTTAACATTAAATAATATTTCATCTATTCCATTTTAATAGCAACATTTCATCTTTCACAAAAATTAAAAAAATTATTGGAACATATTGATTTTTTAAAAATATATAGTAGAATACTTAAATTTCCCTTCTTAAAATTAAAAACTCTCAATTTAATTTTACTACAAAACTAATGCTAATTTTATTTTATTAAAGCAACACCATTAGAGTAGTACTTCTATTTCATTTTTTTCATGCCCTGATATAATGAAAAATTTTTTTATTAAGTACAATTCAAGAATGATAAAAAAAAAAGAGATGTAAATATAAAAATAAATTATACCTAATAAATATGCGTAAAAATTGAACAAAATAATTATGAATATATTTTCAAAATCCTAAATAACCACTAAAAATAGAACAAAGTAAAATATCTCTTTACTATTATTAAAATAGAATGGACAGAGTGCCAGTGTCATTTAAAAAATTAGGTTAATCCTAGATGTAGCTTTTTAACATACGTAATAGTAAATATTTTTTTATTGAATAATTTTTGTAGAATGTAAAAAATTGAATTCTACTGATAATATTCTCTCCAAATGTGAAACTTAAAAGAATAAAATGAGTTATAGAATAATTGGAACCTAGGTTCACCTTCAATTTGATGGACTGCCAATTATTTAAAAACATTCCTATTAGTATAATGATTTTCTTGTTGAACATAATTAACATTAGTGATAATTTATTTAAATCGACCAATCAGAAATGATAAGTCGTTCTCAACTTGGAAATTAATTTCCTACTTTATTTTTATGGATCACTATCACTTGACTTAAAGTCATAAGATGAACATTTGATCAGTTTGCTTTAAATTGAATCGAATCAGTACAAAAATAAATAAGTTAAAAATTTTTAAAATATAAATTGAATCAAATTTATTAGCTTTTAGAATTGAATTGAATTGAATTGGTTCAGTTTTATTTTTAATTATTTTTAGATGAATTTGAGTTTAATGAAAATAACAACTACAAAGAATTTAATCTTTTCTGATAAAATCAAACCGAATATGTTAAAATTGAACCGGATCGACTTTATCAAACTATGCTCAGGCCAGAAAAGTCAGTTACTGTATGCTTGACTTTTATCAAATACGTTTCATTTCCTGTTGACTTGCTAACCACGCAATTATTACTGCTTATATATCAGTATCAATTGCTCCCATCTTCACATTTTTCATTTCAAAGCTAAGAGAAAGAGCTAAATCTATCACTGCAAATTTTTACTCTTTGTTACCCAATCGATGAATCGTCTACGGGAAGCCATAGAAATGTGTTCTTCTCTTCCCTTATTGGGTTGTGTGGTTAGAACTATATTTCACCTATTCGCTTCTTATGAATCATCCTCAAGTTCTTCAACCACTGTGGCGATGGATGAGAAAAAAGATGAAGCAATTGCTAATAACTCCATGGCCCAGAAGCACTTCCGACAAGTTCAACATATTCGGGCAGCTTAGAGCTTATTCTGTTCCCTTATTTATAAGGATTTACAAGATCCTATACTAGGTAATAATTATCGATTTTTGTTCAATTTATGAAATGAGTTTAGGTAATTAAATGGAAAATGTCTATTTAGTATTGATTTCTTAACATGATCATAGATTGATCGTGCTTTTATTTTGCTATTTTAGTAGCTTACAGTTAATCTTGTTCGTATTTAACTGTGTTTTCACTGGTTACGTGTTATGTAATTTTTAGTTAATGAATAATTTCTTATATTGTATTTATATCTTTCGATCCTTACAAACATGGTTTTAGGTTAAAAAATTAGTATATGAACTTATTCATAATTTTAGTAATTTTGGTTGTTTATGATCATGGAGCTAAAAATCAAGTGGGACATAAGCTTTCTAAGTTAGCTTTTAATTCTTTGGATGAAAAAGTTTATCATTTCTTTCTCAAGAAAAAAAAAAAAAAAGTTGTCTGATGAATAAAAATTATATTACAGACATGCTATACAATTTATTTAAAAAAAGTTTATTATAGCTCATTTCTTTCTCAAAATTTTGTTTAATAAATTCTAGACTTCAACATTTTCAATTTTTAAAAAGAAATAAAGATACAGCGAATAGCCAATTAGAGAGCTATTTTTGTGATAAATTATTAAATATTTTAATTTTTCACTGCATCTTTGTTTCTTTTTAAAAAATTCTGAATTTTGGAGTTTAAATTTTTTGCACCATATTCTTGCATAATTTGTATTTATTTATTTCACTTATTTAAGAAAAATAGAATTCCACTTAGATCGTAATTTGATTTTTTTTTTTTTTTTCATTAAGTCTCTATCCAAATTAGTTGAAGAAATAAATAAATGCCTCAGCTCAAAGTCTCTATCCAAATTTAATAATTAGCTCAAACTCAGAAAAACCTTCATCCGATGATTGAATTCGCTGCCAAACTAGTAGTCTTCGTTGGCTTATTAAATTATGTTATAATTGCAATTTAGTATATAAAAAAAAAAGTGTCTTTTGGTCATTTAGGCATGAACAATCTTACTTTTAAAAATAAATATGAACACAATTAGAAAACTACACATCTAAACATTGCAATTATAAGATTTGGTTTTTTTTTATGTAGATTTAGACATATCAGTTAGGGTTTAAATATAAGATTTGGAATCAATTTTTTCCATTCAAAGATTCTTTGAGTTAGAAAATGCCTATCTCATTATTAATGATAATATTTAAAAACTAATATTTAAGCTTACCAACTCAATTGGAAAACTTAAAAATTAATATTTTTTTAATTTATAACATATATAAATGAGGGAATGATAGGAGAATATATAGTTTGCCAAAATTATCCTTATTAATTGATATTAGAGATATTCAAAATTACCTTTAGTTTTGGCCAATTAAAAACATCAATAAACTAATAAAAAATTTTTATTCTTTATTTTCTATCTCTACCATTTGACTTTATATTTTTTATATAAAGATATTTAAGACTGTGAAAATTTTGAAAATATTTTATTTTATAAATTTATTCTTTTAAATAAATATATCTATATATTTATTTTTTATAATTTTATTGAATGTATTTTTTAAAATTAATTTTTAAATAAATAGATATAGACAATTAAGCATTTGAAATTTTTTATTTCAAATTTGATTATTAATAAATATATGTAGTATTTTTTTCTACAATTTGATACACAATCTAACAAAAAATTTTTAAAATAAAGGCATAATTAAGTTGAAATTTTATTATAACATTAGATACTCTAAATAATTAATTAAAAATACAACATTAACTCATTTTATGAAGATTAAAAAATTGAGAGTATTTGGTTGTCTTCTCCTGTTAATTCTGTTGAATTATTAAATACTATCGTCGATTACTGAGTGCCTTCAGATGGATGGAATCGGCAGCTCCTTTATGGCAAATTGCCTCTTAGGTTCTTAATCTAACAGTAAGCTATCAGATTGGGTTGCTCTTGGGACAGTACATTTGCTATTACCATGTAGTGGCTTTGGATATTCAGAAACAGAAACAGTCAATGTTTCATGAACAGGAACTTTTCATTCTGACAAAATTTGGCATGCAAATTCAGATAAGAAGCATATTAGTTTAAGTTCAAACAAACAAGCTTATTTTATTATTATCTGATTGAATGCAGCACGTATGCAATTTGGACATAAAAAGGTAGTAGGATACAATAATATACAGCAGCATGAAATTTTCATAACTGATGTGTTTCACTGATTAAATACAACTTTGCACCATCATCAATAAATTCTACATGAAGAATTTTTCCTCCATTTTCTGATAGAATACAAGTATAATCATTTGGAAGCTGTAGCTGTTCTGCTGCAGTTTTTATAAGCTCTTCCATTGTTTGTGGTATCCATAACACTATCCCTGGTCTTCTATTTTCTTTTGGACTCCATGGATGGAAAGGGAATACTGTGCATTTTCTTTTATGTACTTTATCTGCAATTGGCAACAGCAGTTCTTTTATCGTCTTCAATTACTTAAATTCAAGAACTAACAAAAAAATCCAGAAAATAAAAATAAATTAGGTATCTTCTCAATTATATGAGCCTACATATTTATATAGAATGTTACTAGATGGAATCACCTAACTGGAGGTGACAAATTCTCATCCGACCTACAAACCAACCCAAATCCGCCTGAATTTACATGAAACCTGAAATAACCTAAACCCGAAAGAGCTGAATCTGACGCAGTTCAACCTGCCAGACTCATTTAGCTAATCTTTCCACAATGTGATTGAAACAAAATAATAAAAAAGTTAATTTTTTTAGCTCCTCTAACTTTAATTTCTGACCCGTCACTATAGATACCCTCCCAAAAGACAAACCAAATTATTCGACAGCCAATTTAACTTTGTGGTTGTAGTATCGGAAAAATGTCAGTTTGCATTATCAATACCTGAGATTTCTTGTGATTGAGAAGGGAATTCTGCTAACTGACTGGATTTTGCATCTTCCAGTAGTTTGATCAAATTCTTGTTTCCACACATCCGACCTTCATCAAGCGGAGTTTTTCCCCATCTGATGATGAGTTTAATAGCAAGAAAGCAGTTTAGTTATTGGAATGGTATAATTCTACATTACTATTTTGATATGACAAATAAAATGAATATTTAAAATCTACCTGTCCTTAGAGGAAACACTAGCTCCAGCTTCTAACAGCAACTTTGTCATAATATATAGTCCTTCTGAGGCAGCTACATGAAGTGGGGTCCTGTGATCATAATCCTTGGAGTTTGGGTCAATTCCATTGGACAAAAGCCTTTTGAGAAGATCAGAATCCCCCTTTGAAACAGTTGAACAAAGAAAACTACCAGCATCATCCAGGCTCAAGTGAGCCCCTTGTTTAACAAGTAAAGATGCAACATGATCATGTCCATTCTTGATGGCTTCAAATAAGGGCGTATTTCCAAATTTATCTACCAAAAACACAACTTATTATTATGACATATAATAATAGTTAATTTTACAAAAACCATAAAGGGGAAAAAACAACCTTACCTTTAATGTTAATATCAACTCCTTCTTGAATAAGGAAAAGTGTAATGTCTTCATCACCTCTTGATGCTGCAAGATGCTGCACAAAAAAAAGGTTGTTTTAGATAGATTTAAAACACATAACCTATAGGAACTTTATTTATCTTGATAGATACAGATGTATATATTAATAATATTCATCAGCAAATCCCTACCAAGGGTGATCTTCCATCATAGTCTGTTCTATTTGGATCAGCTCCTGCACGGACAAAGCCTTTTAGCTGATAAAGGTCACCATTATAAGCTGCATTGTTCACCCTCAAAGCAAGTTCAGCTTCTTGCTTTCCTATGTGAAATGAAAGGTCCGATTCTAGTTGCTTATCTCCAAGTCGACATTCTTTCCCCTGTCAGTTTTTCAAGCTTATAGATTGACTGCAAGCAAAATGTTCTTACATACATGATATGATGTAGAATAAAAAAAGGAATAACCCAGGGTTAGTTACCTCTAAAATGTTGTTCAAGATTTTACGTCCATCATAAAAGTATATCTCAAGTATATTAGAGAAAGATTGTTTGTCAATCCGTAGAAGCCGGCATAATTCACAAACTCGAATAGTATATGGCTGAGGAATGTTGCAAAGGATGGAAATTTCTCCAAATGTGCTGTTAGGCTGTAAGAGTGAGACAGTCTCTTCTGATCCATCTTCGCCTGTCCCTACCATTTCCTGCAACCAACAAAAGATATTTGTTTTAGCATTCTACCATTACTAAAAGATTATCCATACAGATTACAAACTAAAGATAAAATAACATAAAATATTATATCAATTTAATTAGCAAACATACCAGCACACCATGACAGACAAAATAAAGTTGATCTACCACATTTCCTTGCTCCATAATTACTTCTCCTGGGAGAAAAAACTCCTCATGGAGCCTAATAACCTGCAACAAGTAAAAAATAAATTAAATAATAAAAAAGATGAATAGAGATATGTGCACTACAATGGATAAGCAGTCATCCAAAAATACAGAATAGGGAACAAACTATCCGGAAAAAGCTAGAAAGTGTACCATTTGATGACAGAGAGGGACTGACTAACTATGGTTTGCAAATGAAGGAGATAGGCCTAGGAATACACCAATACAAAAGAGTGACTTGTTAAAAGTAGAAAATATTAAGAGGAAGATTCAAAAAGGCATGGATAGAGAGAACAGAAGACGATAGCACTACCCACAACCTACGAGAGAATGTATGATCGTACAGCTGTGAATGTTCAAAATGGTTCATGCAGCCCATCCAATCTATCATTGTTTACACTTATTTATCATGTCCAAAATGCAATAGCTCCAGAAAAAATGAAAAATGACTTACAATCTGGTTAATAAATTCTGCTGAGCATCCTTTGAGCAGGGTCACTTGTTCAATAAATGGCAAGTATAAAGTTTGGGAAATCTGCACAAGAGTACACATAATGATAAAGCCTGAATTTCCTGGATAAACTTGATAATGCATAAGACATGTAAAAATTATAACAACTGCAAATTCACAGTCTATAAACAGAACCAGATATTGAAAAAAATATATGGTTTGGCACGCAATCATTCCCTTTTTAAGCCGAAGATAATTAATTCTCGTCCTCTTTTAGAGATCTTTGTTTATTTTTCTTTCTAAAATCTAGTGTTTATATTAGAGAAAAGTGTTGCCATTTAAAAGAGACCGAAAACATAAAAAGCAGAGAATTTTACCTTAGCACGAATAGATGCAGGAAGATCCTGAAGAACAGAAGCTTCTGTGTAACTGCTTTCGTACTGTAAGCGCACATGGCCTTTGATCTGGTTACGTATGTCCCTTCCAAGTCTATTTCTATTCATATATTTGATGAGATCTTTCATTTTATCCCTGAATTTTTCTGTCTTTGATCCTTTCACAATTAGTGCTGTCATATTACCGATCAGATAAGCACCCAGAACCATATCAAAGGACACGTATATCATTACAAATATCATTTCCCTTAGATTGACCGCATGAACATCTCCATAACCTGTGGCACAGAAAGCACACTCATTTAGCATTACAAAAATGGAACATTACAGAAACCCATAATGTAACAGGAGTGTCAAATACCATATTATAGCACACAGAGGGAACTTACCAACAGTGGCCATAGTGACAACAGCAAAATATAATGATGTTGTATAACGCTTCCAGATATCAATCTCCCTGAAGTGTGAATAACTGTAATCACCCATCTTTAAGCTTCCAATCCAAGTATAACCCTCTTCAGCAGCAGGCAAAGTGGTAGCCAAATAGTAAAAGATGCAGGCTGCCGTGTGCGTGCAGTAGAGTTCTACTGCAGTAAGTTTTATGATCCTGGTAAACAGGTAATTTATTCGTATATCCTTCTCCATCTTTTGGAAAAATTCAGTAGCTTTCCGCACCCGACTCAGCCTAATCCACAACAGATACCTTACTTCTTCTCTACGTCCACAAGCCTGTTTCAAAACATTTAAATTTCCAAGAACCTCCAAAATTTTGAGAGAGAAAAATGACCAGAGATATAAATGAATACCTTGTAGATAATGTCCCAAGGCATGCAAGCTAGTAAATCAATGATAAAATGAGATTTCAAATATCTGCAACAAGTAAAATCAGTAAACATAGTCTCAAATAAAAGAGTAATGTTCATAATAGAAGAATCATAGAGGGGAAAAGAAACTTACCGAAGAGCAATAGGAGTACGTTTATATACCATACGATATGTCTGGTGGTCTCTATAGGCAATGAAGAATTGTAAAATAATATCTAATAGGAAGGCAAGCTGTCCAACTATGTCGAGTATGAAGAGGTTCTCAGGTAATCCCCTGAAGAAGCCAAACTCCATTGGTGTAAAGAAGGATGAGTAAATTGCCCATATCAATATGAATTTGGTCCATGCCCTATACCATCTGCATTATTCACCCATAATTAAAACAAAGTGTAACATAAATTCAAAATGTTAAAAATAAAATATTTATATCGACATGCCTTGAAGATGTTTATTAATTTGTGATTGGATTAACAAATAAGGTACATAATAAAAGGAGTATAATTTCCTTTGTTACCAACACAATTTGATGATACCAGGTCCTAGATAAGTTCATCATAAACAATTTATAGAATAAAATTAGCATACGTTTACTTTATGATGCATGTGAAATCAATTCTTCAATGGCTTAGTCATCCACGATTAATTTGTTAAGATTATCCGTTAACTAAAAAGAGGGAAATCAATTTAGTAGTTAATAAAAACTAATATGTGATACCACTTCACCACTTCAAAAGATGCTTTTCCTTAGAAAAGCACTTCAGAATAATAAAAGATAACACAACCTCAGTAGTTAATAATTTAAAATAGTAACTTCTTTCAAACAAAAGAGTCATTTAAAATCACCAGTTTGATGCATGTTATTCAAAGGGGAGGGCTGTCTCCTGCTATGCAGCAATGTTGTCCGTTAGGTCTACCGTGTATAAAAAAAAAAGTCATTTAAAAAAGTTCAAAAAAAAAAAGGCAGATTTGAAGGTACAATAAAGGCAACAATTTGATGGATTCAGTTAATTTGATTTAAATTTTCACACAACCGAAATAAAAGAATTTTTTTTAAAACAAAATAAAACCGAGATGTATCAAAATACTGTAAATAAAAAAAGAAAATTAAAATAATCGAATTAATTGAAATTTTGAAAAAACATATTATGAAGTTTGGTTAGATTATTTTTTTTCCTTACCTGAATGATGAAGTCTGGTTAGATTACTGTTTATAAGGCTGAATCGAATTAAAATAATCAAAATTTAGCAAAATACAAAATCAAATTAAAGTAAATTAATAAAAGATTAACTAAATTACCAAAATTAAGCCAATACGATTTAATTATTAGTTAACCCAACCAACCAACCAGTCACGGGACGCTTTCCTTACGTAAATTTGAGAAGAAACAATTCTCAACCAATGGAAGGAAACAAAGGTCAACATGAGACACGTTGTGTAGTCTGTTCAGATAAAACATGAGCAGGTGGGTTGCCTACTACTCTCCGGACAATTTTTTATTATAGATCGATTATTTTTTCAAATAATTATAAACTTATATTCCTCATAAATTCACCAAATTATTTCAAATTTGGAAAAGATACAATAACATGAAGAAATCAACCGGTGAGAAATATTTTCATTCTCATGAAATAAAAAGTTGTATTATGTGGTGTACATATCTCTCCCATCTTTTACTGGTTTTTCCAATATAAATTCTTAGAACTACAATTATAATTGAGCTGAGTCAAACTTGAACCTGCCAGGTTCGAAACTCAATAAATCTAAAAATTTAGGCTTGGGTTGGCTTGATGAAATCTCGAGTTCGACTCGAGCTCGGTTTAAGCTCGACTTCAAACTCGAATTCAACTTGAAAAATTTTAAACTCGAGCTCGGCTCGAAGTTTGAGACTTGAGTAATCTAAAATAATATTATATGCTGATGAATCTCGCAGTTCGAGCTCGAGCTCGGTTTAAGCTCGACTTCAAAAACTCGAATTCAACTTTGAAAAAATTTTAAAACTCGAGCTCGGCTCGAAGTTTGAGACTTGAGTAATTCTAAAAATATATTATATTATATATATATATATCTATATATTATATATAAAAGAATAAAAGATCGATAAGACTTGACAAGTTTTTAAGCTGAATATCATTAGGCTTGAGCTCGAGTTCGAGCTCGATTTGAGCCGAACCTTTTTAATTTTTTATTTTTTGAGCTGAGCTCGAACAGCTCATGAAAAATATAAAAGTTTCATCATTAATCTTAAATTTTTTTTTTTTTTGGGAACATTCATTCATTCATTTTAAATTGAAAAATTAAGATAAACAAAAAAATAATCAACCCCTTAAAATTTGTAATTAAATAATTATGGGCATGATCTATCACATCGATTTTATATTGCATCAAGTCAAATAATGGTGCTAAGGGACAGATTAATAAAGTAATCACTGTCATGCTTAAGTATAATCAACTAATTTTATAGCTGGTTAATAATTAATTAGTCATGTCTGCCATACATGTTTACAACTAAAGGGCCATTTGGATGCAAACATCAACGTCTTTTTAAAAAAAAAAAAAAAAAAAAAAAAAAAAACAATGGTCAAATTAAATATTCTAAGAAATTATCAATGCCCATCTTTATGAGGAGAAATTCTTAGATGATTACAAACCAAATACATGACTATATATACTAAAATAAATTAATACTAATATTTTCTGCACATCTACATAAATAATTATTGCTTATCACTTTAATTTCTTTAGTTTTCTGAAGTTTCAAAAATGACTATTAATTTATTATGCTGTATGATAAGAATAGAAGAGATGAGTGCATTCTAAGAGTCTCGTCTAAATCTAATGTCCAAAACAAGTTAATATTAATATAAAATTTTTGTTTTTCTATTATTTAAAGAACAACTTAATTCCAAATTAATAGGTAGCATACTTTTTGGTTCCCATAATTTAGAAATAAATTCCGATTTCAAAATAGTAGGATGAATTGTTAATACTTGAAATTTGAAACTTTTTTTTATTAATAAATTTAACATTAAATGTAATTGTCATGTATATA